TGCCGTGACCTTGTTGTTGTTGTTGTCTTAGCCAGTAGACTCGGCGTTTAAGCCTACATGCCGCAACTATGCAACTGCTCCATGTTTGAGGTAGCGAATCAAGGAAGCATTGCGAATGTTTCTATCCGACTCGCAGGCCACCACGCTCCTTCAACCGAGCACTGCTGGAATTTGCCACTTGATTTTTCTAAGGCTCGAGATGAATCGGCTGATCTGCTTGCATCTCGAGCCCACCTTAAAAGTTGCATATCTGTGGCAGAAAATGCGAGAGGTTTTTGGCTCGGATGGTGATGCTGCTGATGATGATTAAGGGTGATGATGATGATGATGATGCTTATGCTTGGCGAGACCCTCGAGGAGAAAAAGAATGCTGAGGATGCCAGTTCCCGACAACACCCACCCAGGCAGCGCGGCGCGGGCATGTGAGCGGGCACGGCAGTGGCAGCAGAGCTGGGGACCAAGTTTTCAACCGTCCGAATGTGAAGCGACCAATAAGATGTTTGCCTGCAGCCCTAGGTGCAGCTTCTAGAGTCTAGAAACTACACGTAAGCCACATGAACGTCAGCGACACATTTGGTCGGAAATGATTAACGACACAAGCATGCACAGGACACTGTGCTGTTCGTCAAACAAAGCCTAAACCTCCTGTTGGGATGCGCCTCTTCTTGAGACACCCCACGACCCAGTCAACCGTCCAAGGCCAAATGCGAGATCCTTCCAACAGTACTTGTCACTTGTTTCTGGAAGGGGTTCCAAGGAAAGAAGCGAGCAAACAAAGGAACCACCGCACTCCCCACTTTCATGCGCGCCTCTCGCAAGCTGAGATGTGTGCTGTGACAGCACCATCAAAATCAAATGTCCCAACCCAATCGGATTCAAAAATGTGTTGTGTGCCACGCTCGAGAGGCCTCATGGTTGCTGGCCGACACCGTCCCGCAACGGGAGGTGTAGCATCGATGTCGGCAGAGGCCAAGATTTTTGTGCAAGTTTAAGCTTCGTGGGGTTATCTAGGCTATCTTGATTGCAGCTTTGTTCCAGCTGTCTCCCACAGAAGGAGCTGCTGCAAAGCGTGTGGATGGGTGCACAGCAGCTGCGGTGGGATGAGAACTGGGAGTCAGTGGCACAGGCTCCTCCCGTTGTCGTGACGTTGGCGCTTGCAACCTAGTGCGAGGTACACGAGGGCTCAGGTATCCTGTCTTAACATGTTTGGTGAAGCATGAAACCGGTCCGGATCCTCTGCCCGGACACCTTTTACCCAATTCCCCAACTGCACATGTTCTCACATTGCTTGGGTATGTGCGAATGGCTGCTGGAGTTGAGAGACAGAGCATATCCGTTGCCGGATCTTCCGTGCACCAAGCTGTAGCCACTCCCCCCGGGTGCTTTCCTTGCCTGGGCGGGGCCTTCGCGGAGTATTACAGCTGACATCTGCTGACCCCTCGTGGTGCACCTTAGTAACAGCAGTAGTAATAGTAAAAGTAATAGTAACAGTACCAATAGTAATAACACTAGTAATGATAGCAATAATGCAGCTGACAACTGAATAAAGGCAGCCCCTTTGACGAGGCGCTCGCTTCAAAGCTCGGGCAGCTTTCGCTGGAAGACCTGGCTACGGCGCGGAGATCCGTCGTGAATTCAATTGCTGAATGTCATCCTACTTTGGTCTGTACGAGGGGACAGCTCGGGCTTAAACGCTTCGCGTCGTCCGCCTCTGCCCGGCTGTACTTGAAGCAGGTGCATTGTTTCGGAAAGCAACGCGTAGGTCACAGGTGAATTCTTGAGTGAATGAGCGCATGTGCTTCAGAATGTTTCTTTATGTCAGTATTCGTTTTCATGCTGAGGCTCTGGGCCATAATCCCACGCGAAAGGTGGCACATGCCCTGCAGTATCCCATAGACGTTAAGGTAATAATAGTCGTATCACACTCCTCACTGGTCTCGTATACAACCTCCCATATGTCTGAAGGGGAATCAAACTTTGCAACGAAGTACAAGACACAGCCCCAGAACTCCCAGGCTTTAACCTCAGCTTCGCGAATGATGTAAGCTAGCCCGTCTTGCCTCGCTGCAAAGAAGAGACAGGGAAGCGGAGGGGTGGGTGGGGGGCGGGGGGAGGGGCGGGGCACAGAAAAACGGGCTCTCCGCCAGGGTCACTGAAGAGGTGGGGAAGCAGGAAATCCCTGAACTTCTGAAAGTTCACCAGCCCTTGCAGTGCAGGCACTGTGGTCCTTCGGCACTTTGGCGAAGGCTCCTACCAGCTTTTTGGAGGCAGGGTAGCAGCAGGTAGGCTTTGTCCCAACTGTTTGTGGGACTGGCGTTGCGGAGTTTTGGTTTGAGACCGAGTGCCTCGCTTGCAGTAGCCTCTAGTCGGCAGCGACCCTTTGAATGGACCCTGTGCAGAGGAAGCTGCAAAGGAGGCTGTCCGGAGGCTCGAGCTGGGCAGCCCGCCTCACAACGGGAAGTCATGCCACACCCCACCTTCGGATGGATGGGTTAAGTTCTTGAAGGTTGATATAAGCCCTAGGGAGTACAACAAGGTGGATTCTTGAATTTCTCCACACCATGGGATGAAGGATTGCATGTCCGACCACCTTGACTTTGAACTTTCTAAGGTGAGGCAGCCACGCCGAGAACTCTGGCAGATCTGGCATGGGGCCGGCAGCCCCGGTCGACGTCAGCTGATGACCAAACCTCTGAGATCCAGGGCGATCGAACACGGTGAGTTGCAACCAAATCGGACAACCTTTGCAGCAGAAGTCCGACGGCAAGTTGTCGCAGTTTCACGCATGTGCCTCTCCCCGCCTCCAGCACGAGACAGGCTTTGCGACACTGGGTTTTCAATCGTCTCGACTCTTCGATGCCCTGCAGCTGCGGATCTCCAGGCAGTGTGCCGGGTGAGTCCAATTGAATTTCGGGGTGCAACCGTGGAGGTTTCAGGCCGGGACTCTGACTTTAATAGGACTGCGGCGTGGTCCTGCCTTCTGCGGATCTTCTGCGGGCTACAGTCGCACCGCGGACATCTCAAGGTTTGCACCTGCACTGCGTGCTTGCTCTGGGACAGTTGCAAGATGCTGCGACCCGAGCCCATGCGGCAGATAGTCGCACTGCAACATCTGTGCGCTGTCATCACCGGGACCGGTGGGGCAGTAGGGCCAATCCCTGTGTGTTTGTGCGAGCCAATCCGCTTCCCTCCGCCCAAGAATTTGTTGACAGGTGGGAGGATGAGTGCGACATCTGTTGTCGCTCCAACTCCGAGCGGGCCCAGTTTTTGAGCAAAGCCCAGGTCGTGGTTTGGGCACCTTGGCTCAGTCCTTTGCAGGATGGGAGTTGGTGCTATGTAGCGGCTATGTAGCGCGGGCATGCTGCGTGTCAACCCGACAAAGTTCGTTTCTAGAACCAGAACGCAGGCAGCAAGCCACGTGGGTGCCCTGCGTGCCTGAGCCTCAGATTGCGTTGCTACTGTTTTGTCCCGATTCAGACTATGCATTGTTTAAACCAATATACTTGCATGATCCGCATCATAGTCACGCTTCGAAGCCAGACATCAGTCTCCCTGGCCCGGGAGAGCCTACATGCAAGTGTCTTGAGTGGCCAAGTGGTTCAGAGGAGACGGTACTTCTACATCTCCAGGACGTGTTTCGAAGCCCCGCCCTCAGCGCGGCGGCCCTTCGACTCAAGCATCCAAGCCGATATCCTTAACTTTTATTGGCTTTAGCAATATGATACAGAAGCAGCCTGCGCCAAGCTCGACGTGCCACCCCAGCGAGAGATCCCATGCAGGACTTGCCGACCTGCTTGAAGCCGAGCGGGGAAGCTTCGCACACCCCGACACCACACTTCCTGCGGCAGGCAAGTCAGCATGGTTTAGCGAATTGGAGCGCGAGCATTGTTTCAGCATGACACCACGTGATTTTGTTCAGAAATTGAGTTGCCCGTGTCTGTGCAGGAGGTTTCCGAGGCCTCCCTGTGCCGCACGTCCTGCAGAACTTCCACGACAGGCCTTGTAGGGCGAGCGGCCAGAGGCTTTGATTGAAGATTTGATAAGGGGGCCGTTGGCCGGGAGATTGGGCTCAGAGGCCGGACTTGTGATGTTTAGACACGTATTTTGGCGTCCTGGGAAGCTTGTGCCATCCCGGAGCCTGGTTTTAATGAAATCGTCAAGCGATTTGCCCAAGCCAGGTTTGTGTTGTTCAAGCCCGAAGGCTGGCAGGCGGGCTCTTGCTGGATCTTGAGGCTTTGATGCTGAGTGAGGTTCTGACTTGATGGCACATGTTTATGTACTGCCCGTCGGCAAGATGATGTGGCAAGGTTTGAAGGAAGCTCCCGCACTCCTATGTTGATAGGCAAAAATTGCAGTGCATTGATGCGCATGCGCATCAAAGGGGCAGAACTGAGAGGCCCTTGCGGCCTAGGCTACAGGCCGCCTTGGAAAGGCTCTCGGCTCAAGGATCTGGGCCTTGGGCTGACGGCTTACCCGCTTACTGCGCAAAAATGCGCGCGAAGCCGAGATGAAGAACCGTGCGATGCTTGTGGTTTTTCGCTTGGGATCCGGGAGTTTTGACTCTCCGTGTCATCACGGGCTCAGCCTGTAGTGAAATGTTTGCTTCGAAAGTTGCAGATCTCGCAGAACATGTGTGCTGTAGATTTGATGCCTATGTGCCAAGGTGCATGATAGTGTTGCGCCAGTGGGCTGCTGGTGGATTAGATTCAGGCACGCAGGGCCACAAGGATGAGACTTTCCGAGGCTCCACAGGATCTCCCGAACAAGTCAGAGGTGCATTGTAGGTCCTGAGCGTGTGACCTTGGCCACGGACTTATTTATTTATTTGTGTGTAGCCGGGTGGCCGTCGCCCTGCAGGTCATCTAGACAGCGAGTCGGCCTGGCCGCGTGACCATGCTCGAGGGGGAGGTGGGCCAGGGATGTGCGAGAGATGCAGGAGCTCGCCTTTATACATCATGTTCCTGTCCTTTCCCCAGTGTTCAGAAGGTTGAGGTCAGCTCAAGCCACGCGTTCTGAAAGAAGACTGCTGTGCCCCGAGTGGGAGTCAGTAGGGGCAGTTCGATCCGAGAGTGAGCAACGCAGAGCAGTTGAGAACTACAAAATTAGGGTTTAGGGTTTAGGGTTTAGGACATCTACCTAAGGTTTAGGCGATGCATGGAAGAACCGGGCAGGAATGGAAGGGGGAATAGTCTGGAAAGATGTTGCGAGCATGAGAGGCTTCTGGACCGGCTGAGCGCCAGACTACGGGAGCATCTGTCGAGGCCACTGAGGGCTGTGATTCAGATCATGTGTCCACATCATCTGCGGGGTTGAGTCCGATCTCGGTATTCCGGCAGCCAGATTCGGAATATTGAGTCGCTCAAGGCAGGCCAAGAAGGACAAACGGTCTATCACAGAGTCGCTGTAACAGTTTGAGGCCATGCAGAGTGCGGCAGCATAATTGATAGCTGTTTGCCAAGAGCCGGTGGCTTGTTTAGGAAAGCTGAAAATGGTGCACTGGGGTCTTGACACCTGTCGATTTACGTGCGCCCAAACGCGACTTCATTCTGGCTCAGGCATTGGCTCAGGCCCAGCTGTACAGTTTAGGGCCGTTGACAGGGCGAGCCGTTTTGCTGCAAGCATGGGCTGTTGCGAGAGTGCTGACGCCGCACAATCGGAAACGATACCGGAGAAGGCGCACAAGATGCAGGCAAGCCGCGAGGAGCGGGAGAGAGCCGAGATGCAACGAATCCTGGAAAAGCGCCCGGTGAATCGCAATCCAAGTTTCAACCGGCCAGCGCGGCCCATGCCCATGCGCCGCGGCTGACGCTAATGTCATGCCACGGACTCTCCCAGCCTCCAAGGGCTCCTCTCGATCGAGGGGCTTTTCTTGGAGACTCTGAGGTTGTAGCATGCGTTTGTGCAAGGAAAGTGTCCGGCAAAAGTGATGATTGATTCTGAAGCAGAGCTGAAGACTTCAGTCGGAGATGGCTGGACGTCTGCGGGTTTGGTTCTCTGTTAGAGTAAGGAGGTACGCATCCTAGGACTCCTAGTAGACGAAGCCAGCAGACCTTGTTAGAGAGTTTGTTCCCCAGCTTCGCTTGCACTGGAGCCCATTCCGCAGCAGGGCGAGCTGGCAGGCACCACACATCTGGATGTGCAGTTTTGTCAGGCTTTGGCTGGTTTTGGCCAAGCCTGATTGCGGCTTTGCTGGCAGGGCTCTCCGTGAGTCCTCGCCGGATTGCCCCAGCTGAGAGAATCAAAACATAATCTCGAAGCCCGCCATGCCGCAACAGTAAGGCAGAGATGGCAGGACATTGTGTGGTTGACGGTTGTTGGCTCATGAACATGCCATCAGAGGGGCCGTGTTAGTTTATTGCAGTCAGATTATTGGGAACAATTTTTTCTTTGATGATGCAGGAACGGAAAAACACAAACTCGTCTAATCTGCAGACTTGCTCGGCACACTTACACAGTAGACTAGAGACACTCACTTTTTTCTGGGTTTGGAGCTCAAGCAACTGCACACAGGCAAACTAAGCAAACTCGATACGGGTAGAATCGGGTAGAATCATGCCCACCCCACTTGAACCTTGTCCGGCACAGTTTGATTTGTGACCGACCAGGCCAGTGCCAGCCCTCCACACGAAGCAACGGCCCCTGCCGAAAAGAGGCCGACCCAAGTCTGTTCGGGAGACATTGATGGTTCGGAGCCCCGTTACAGTGTTGAAGTTGAGGAGTGGCGTGGATGATTAAGCATTTGTTGGGGCAGTTTGCGTGTTCTTACCGACTCGGCAGCCTTCGGAGACTTTGGTACCATATAATATGCAGTGTCTTTGGTAGGTTTGCATGTGTACAACTTGACTTGCTGTCTCGATCTATTTCATTTGGTATATTTTGCCAAGTAACTACTAACATGACTAACATGAGCTCACTACACTGGTATCTCTAAGCAGCCCAGCTTCCAAAAGGCGGGAGTCCCAGGAGGAGGCCAGCAGCCAGGCCCATGGGTCGCAGAAGCGAAAAGCTTTTGAGAGCTGAGAGGCGGGTTGAGGCCAGGGCATTCTAGACCGATGACGCAGATTCTGACTACTACTCTGTGCCACAACTCCTTCACGCTTCGGTCCGTGGCCTTTCTTCAACCTTGCTGGTGCATGCAAGCGCGTGCAGCTATGAATTCGGAACTCGTCAGTCGGTGGGGTGCTTCTCCAGTATCGCCCTTTTCTTGGCCCCCAGGCGAGAACAAATCGCTTAGCTGCGACATGGCCGGAGCAGGCCGACGGCATTCACTTGTCCGCAAAAACGCCGTGTGAAGATGCTACGGCGGTCTCGCCGACATGGTAGCCAGCCAACCATAGTCGACAAGTCAATGACCACATTCTGCGTATTGTACATCGCAGAACAAATCTAGTCCTTGCATGCAGTGGGCAAAGGAATCACATCGAGGCATGTCTGCTGCATGTAAAATACAAAAGCACACACGCACACACATCTTGAAGTCAATACATAATTACCTGGATGATATACACACACAAATTACTGTTACATTAATTGCTGTTGTATAATTATGCCTACACATATACATACACACATCTCTACTTCCCTACAGGCATCTGCCTGTGTGTCTGTCTGTCTGTCAGTCTGTCTGTTTGTCCGTCTGTCTGACTGTCTGTCTGTGTGTCTGTCTGTCTGTCTGTCTGTCTGTCTGTCTTCGCACATGTGCGTATGTGTATATATATATACACATACATACATACATACATGCATACATACATACATACATACATACATATGTGCTTACGCACATGTGATATACATATACATATCTATATTATATATATATATATGTGTGTGTGTGCGTATATGCGTACATAGACACATACTTATGCATATATCCATGTAGATCTGTGTACGTCTACCTTCTCGCTACCTACATGCCACATACATACACACACATACATACATACATACCTACCCACGTACACACATACATACACACATACATACATACATACATACATACGTACATACATCCGTACATACATGCAGACGTACATACATACATACATACATACCTACCTACCTACCTACATACATACATACATACATACATACATACACACACGCACACACACACACGTACGTACGTACGTACATACATACATACATAGTTTAATTTCTGCATGCAAGAATACAAGATTACCTGCCTACCTGCCTACCTACCTGCCTGCCTGCCTGCCTGCCTACCAGCCTACCTGCCTACTTGCCGACATGCATGCATACATACATCCATGCACGCATGCATACATGAGACAGACAGTCAGCCTTCCAGCCAGCCATGCAGGCAGGCGGGCAGGTAGACAGACAGCCAAGACTGACAGACAGCCAGGCAGGGAGGCAGGCAAGCAGGCAGACAGACAGAGAGACAGACACGCACATGAAGAGATGTATACATACGTGAAAAGTCAAACCAAAAATACATGTACTTATGAATACAGATATATACATATATATATGTGTGTGTGTGTGTGTGCGTGTGTGTTTATAAACATATATGTGTATGTATACACATACGTGCACACACACACATATATACATATATACGCACACACACGCACACGTATATATATATATATGTA